CCTAAACCCGAAACCCCTAAGCCCCTTTTCACAAGGGACTCTGCTGCTGCCCTTACTGCCCAGCTTGACCCCTAAGCCCCTAAACCCTTAAACCCCTGTACCCTAAACCCCTTATACCCTAAACCCCTAAACCCTAAACCCCTTAATTGCTTGGGAGGAGCTGGAAACTTCGATCTCCTGCACTTCCCCCTCCAGATACATCTGCACCTGCCGGCCGTGGTACATAAAGGGCTTAGGGCTTAAGTTTTGGGTTTAGGGGGGCAGCCCAGAATATCCCCTAATTAAGGAACAGACCCCTTCAAAGGGTTCCCTTAAAGGCTTCTTTAAGGGATCTATGGGATCTGCAGGGTTTAGGGTTTAGGGCCCAGACCTACAGCTATTAAGGAATATACCGTAATCTATAATCTGATTTAACGTATACTCCTTAATTACGGGATATTGGATGGTCTGCGAGCTTACTGTAGGGGCAACAATTAGAATAGGGTTTTGGTGTATACTAGACTACAATCATAATAAGGAACCCCCAAAACAGCATAGGCAATTGTTGAGGAACCTATATTACTCTAAGGTTGGAAGGGCTTTGGTTGCAACTTGTGAAGTCAAGGCAGTGACCATAGCGGTTTAGGGTTGAGGGTTTCATGGTCAGCCCGAGGGCAAGACTGTTGCGTGCTTGGCCCTACACCCACTGGCCTGTGTTGCACTAGGACCTCCAGCAGTTTCACCTTCAGCTGATCCAAACCAGAGCTGAAGCACAATATAGGGGCCTTAATAATTAGAATAGGGTTTTGGGGCCCATTTTTCTTCTTCGGACAGGCTTGAGTCATGTGTGACGCGCCTCTAGCATGAATTCAAGTGAAACTAAAAAGAGCCGATCACTCTCGGGGGGAGGCAAGCCCATTGCGAGTACGCAAGAAGCCGCCTGCGACCACCCAAGAAGTGGCCGGTTCAAGGCACCGCAGTGCCGCAAAGGGCGCTCGCAGCTCAACGGGCGACGAAAAGCCCTGCTGTACGGCTGCAAGCAAAACATCCAAGGATGCTTCAACCCAGGCCACTTGTCGTTTAACAGCGGCCAGGGGAGCACTGACCTCGAAGGGAAACACATAGCTCGGCAATGGTGGAAAGTCCAGAGCCAAAACTACAGTTGTGCCGGTAAGAGAGAAGGGCAAGGCCAACCCGGTAAGAGGCAACGGAGCAGCAAAGAAATCGACGCAAGGCGAGGCCGTGCGCGGCCGGCGAAAATGCTCGCAACATACCGAGGGGTCAAGCAGAAGCAGTACATCCTCGGCAATGCTAGGGGCAAAGCTCTGCGCAGACGGGTGTGAACGCCATGCTTCAACAGTGGCTCGCAGGTGCTTCAGGGGTGCAATGAAATCCTGGACTAACGCCCACACATGGGTCTCGGCAGCATCATCGAGATCCAAGAGGGCTGAAAGCAGAGCCGGGTGCCCTCAGCTGCAAAGTCCGGCTCAAAACCACCAGCGTTTGCTCCAACCCCTGGGAGCTGAAGAGGGGGTGCCAGCGGGTGTATGCCAGCAGAAGGAGCAGGCCCATCGAGGGAGAAGGACCCCCATTTCTGTTGGCATGTGGGCGTCATGAAGACGTGCCGACGCATCCGGGCATTGTTGGCATACAAGCGACCACACCCACTGCACCAAGCCTGGGTGGTCCCAGCAGTAAGGGTAGTAGCGCGGGTACGATACCCGTGAAGGCGACTGGCATGGCAAGCCCACGAGACACGGTCGACGAACCCGAGACGGCACGGCAAACACGCCTCCTCATAGTGGATGCCACCCGCAGGCGTCGGGAGCGCATCACTGTACGCTGCGAAGAAACGCCGGCATGCATGAAGTGAGGCGTAGGCCGCAAGCCTGCACGACTCGAGGGCGGAAGCACGCTTGATCCAACCTCGAAACCTACCTGGTGCCCGGCACATTACCTCCGCCCATGGTTCCCAGCTCTCGAGCGGATCGGCAAGCCCAATGGTCTCATGCAGGCGGGCATACAACCAGCGCATCGCCTCACGAAGCTCGCCCAAGTATGCACTATCATGCCTAAGCAGGGCCCACAGCGCGTCAGGTGCAGACTGAACCAGCTGACGCAAATACCGCAAGCGCTCGACGCGAAGAAGCGTCGCAGGATCAGGCAAATGCAAAAGGGCACATGCCATCGCGCCCGAGATGTGTTGGTCTTCCCCATGGGGCACACAGAGGGTCTGGCGAAACAACGCAAAGACCGACCTATGGTAGAAACCCTCTTCGCCCTTGCGAAGGCGGGGCCACGCCCCAGCACCAAACAACAAGCGAGGCAATACCATAGTCGAAAGCAAGGCCCCTCGCCTGGCAACAGCGATCCGTCGGCAGCGGTAAGCCTTAAGGCGCCCCTGTCGAAAGGCAGACCAAGCAGAGGAACTGCGGGCACGAAGCTCCGGCAAAAAGGAGCGGTTAGCGCTAATGAGAACTCCTAAGTGTTTATAGGCCGCTACAAGCGGGAGCGAGACAGGGCCTGCATCCTCACGGAGAACGGCAAGCTCCCCTTTACCACGAAAGAGCGCACGCCGAGCTGATCGAGCCCCATCACCCTGGAGGATCACCATAGCAGCTGTCTTAGAGACACCATACGACAGGGTATATCCGTGCACGGCGAACGCCTCGTCCAGAACCGAGGCCTCGACAGCTGTCTGGGCAGCTGCCTGATGTGCCGATGCCAGCACAATGCAAGATGCCAAGTCATCTGCCCACACGACATCGGACAACCGAACGGTACCGCAGGGAGGAGCAAGAGCAGAAAGATCCCTCCGTAGGTCCCACTGTATCAAGGGAGCGGGGCCCGCCCTGGGCGTCGCCGCGCGCAGAGAGTCCCGCATGGCGACAATGGATTCAATGCCAGCACTATACATTAAATCCGCCAGAGCTGAACCCGGCCTAGACCCCCGACGGGTAATGACAGGGACGTGGTCCCCTCGCAGAGAGAACCAGGAACCCCTATGCATCTCCGCAGCTAGAGACTCCAGCCAAGCAGGGGCGTCACCACGGGCAAAAGCACTGCGCCCAGCCAAGCGCTCCAGAAGGCCCTCATAGCCGGGAGAATCGACAGGGAGCACAGGCATGCGTGTGGAGTCCGCCTGTGTCCCTTGGCGCCGGGCCGTAAGGTCACGAACAGATTGGTAGTAGGCCGACGCCACATCAGCGAAGAGCACACACGCTGGCATACGGTTCTGTGAGCACCAGTTGCAGAAGGAGCGGACTGTGTGGCTCCCAAAGACAACAGAAGCCCCCCGTCTACCCCCAAGAAGGATAGGGGGCGCGCACGCCATCACATGCTCGTACAGACCTGGCCTGAAAGCCTTATGGATGACTTTTGTAAGTGTCGGGAGCAGCATGATTGCCCTGTAGGACTCACACTTGTTCCGGGCCCCCTTGTGCTTGTAGAGGTAGGTCATCAGTGCGCTTTTGAGACCCACTGCTTCTTCGCCCAAGAGGCCAAGCTTGAGGATCAAAGGCATCACCAACTGAACAACACTGGAAGGCAGCGCACGGAAGAACTCTCCTGGGATGCCATCAGGTCCACTGGCCTTCCGGTTTTTCAAGGTAGACATCGCACAACATACATCCCCTGGACTAGGGAGCATAGTAATGTCGGCAGGACGCGGCCAGACCAGCCCCTCCCTTTCCGCAACAACAGAAGCCAAGAGTTCAGGTGTGCCTTCCACACCGGCCTCCATAGCCCCGAAGTGGGACCTCCACCTGGCAGTAGCTTCATCAGCGGTGCTGCATGGTTTGCCCTCGGAGTCAAGGATCTCTGGAAGTACATCTGGAGTATATGGCCGTCTTTGACGAAGACCAAGGAGCCTATTGAGGGCCTGGTAGGCATCTGGCTTGTTCGCCTGGACATCATCAGCCAAGGCTGTAAGGTAAGCGGCTCGATCATCCTTACAAGCCTGCTTGAGCTGGGATGAGGCAAAGCGCAGTTCCGCTCCTTTCTGATCACCAACTCGCATTGCACGGAGGATCCAGGGCGACTTTGCAGCGCGTCGCAGGATATCAGGGTCGGCGCAGGCCCAAGTGGAGAACGAAGCAGCGAGCCAGTGACGACGGACACGCGTGCGTAGGGCCGCACACTGCTTTCGAAGGGCAGCTACTGTGGCATGCATGCCCCAGGTGGTTGCAGTTATGTAGGCATGCCGGGGTTTTCCAGTGCACCGAGGGAAAGTGTCAGCCAGAGAACCCTGTAAGTAGCCAACCAGCGCGGCTGCATGAGCATCAGCTGAAACAGCCCAGGGGATCTCAGGCGCACCCGCGACGATACTGACGACCTTGTCTCTGTACTGCGGGTCAGCAAGGGCACGCGCATCAATGCCAGCAAGTCTCGGCGGCCGGGTGCCAGAACCACAACGGACCCTGGCGTGCACACGCGCAACCGCAGCAACATGGTCCACATAGGGTTGGCCGACATGGACGCCAGGGGCAGTCCAAGACTTCACACCGGCATGGTACCAAGCATCAGGGAGACAAACGAAGTCTGCACGCGTATGCAAATGGTTCCGCTTCTGGATGTACGTCCAGGACTCTCCTGTGTGGCAAGCGGACCAAGTTGACGGGAGCCATACGGCGCAGGCCTCGGCAAGTTCACGCAAGAAAGCGCTGGCATCATCTTGCTCCTCAGACGCATGGTCGCCGACACGATCGCAACAAAGCGAGCCGACCGATGCGTTGAAGTCCCCACCAATGACAAGCGGTGCCCTCGTAGCAGCACGCTTAAGGATGTCAAGGGTGTCAGACCACCACTGGCTCAACTGGTCGCGCTCCGTGCCCCTGTGCGGCGCATGTAGCGAGGCGAAGCAGAGACGCAGCGGACCGCGGTGGAAATGGAGGATGAGCCGACGACTGTCTTTGTGCAAGACTTGGAAAGCCTCCTTACAAAAGGCAGCACCGACACAGGATCCATCCCCATCCCGACGCATAAGGGAGAAACCATCCCGGAACCACAGCTCAACACCCAGGCAACCAGCGTCGCCACCAGAGGAAAAACGCAGGAAGCCCGAGGTTTTGATAAAGCCTTGCTCCGTACGGGCCTCCTGGATCGCAGCAGCGTGCACACCTGTACGCTCCAGGCAGGAGGCGAGGAGCGCAGGTCTCCCAGCAGCAAACGCGATACCAGCATTGAGGCCGTCCGCAAAAGCCTTGCCGCTCAAAGACAGAACATTGTATGTAGCAAAGCATAGGCCAAGAGCACAGGTGTTGCTATCATCGGCCGGGACATCGAAGGCAGCCGCTGCGGAAACAGGACGGAAAGGCGCGACGAGTTCAGCTGGAGTGAGCCCAAGGTTGTCACGTGGCACACGGCGCAAAGGTCCCAAGGACGGGAAAGAAGCATCACCAAGGGCACCGCGGAGGCAGACCCCACACCACTCAATGAGCTTACCTCCATCACACCACCAGTCGCGGGGCTCGGCACCGGCCCACTCACGCCACACAAGGCCACCTACAGCATTGCCTTTAGCAGCAAGCTTGGCAGCGAAATCGACAACCTCATTGCCAAAGTATCCACAGTGGCCAGGCACATGGCAGAAAGACAGGGAGCCCTTACGGAGCGCCTCAAAACCCGCACACGTGCGCCGTAGGACCGCAGCAACCTGCGCCCGAAGCGACCACAAGCGCCGCCTGGCAGTCAGAAAAATATCGGACCTCCCGCGCTCCGAAGGCAGTGCTCCCGATCCAGACCGCGGCGGTAAGGGCAAAGCGCTCGGAAACAAAAGCGGAGGGCTGAACCTTGCACCTGTCATACCACGGCGGCGCACCTCCAGAGACGATACTCAGTCCGCACGTGGCCGGGTCGAGGAAAGCAACCGCCCACCCAAGCAGGCAAGGCACGCCCCCACCAGCCGGAGTGAAGGATCCGTCCGCAAAACAATGAATGGCCGAGTGCGCAGAAGGGGCAGGCATAATGCGCGCCAGGCGGTGCCGCTCATCAGGAGACAAGATTTGCGCCAAGTCCGACAAGGTTCCAAAGCGGACATCTGGCTGCAAGAAGAGCGAGGCTTGTTCAGCCGTGAAGCCGAGTGGCACTCCCTCCAGAAAAAGAGGGCCGCGCGGAACCCCCATGCCAGCAAAGTCAACAAGCCCAACTGCAGGCTCGACAGGGGGCAAGACGAGACCAGGCAGGGGGAGCAATGCTTCAAGTGACAAGGGTCGCGGAGAAGGCGGAGCGTCCTCTCCGGGACCACCCAGAGCGGAGGATTCCCATATGGCACATCGAGACACCCTGTCTTCTACAAGGGTCTCGAGGCGAGAAGCCGCCCAGTAGAAGGGGTAGCCTGCCATATTCGCGACGCTCTCCTCAAGCAGAGTGCTCAGGACATCGGTGGGGTCCTCGGCAGAGGCACTCTCGTCGTCAACGGCCACACTGTCAGCGGAGGGTCCGGGCTGGTTCCCTTCACAGAGAACAGTCGGGACAGTGTTTGAGCGCGCAGGCGTAGGTATACCCGACAGCAGGGCAGCGCAAGCTTGTGGACGCAGCCCGCAACCAACGGCCTCGGCTTCTCCGTTGGTACACGCAAAGGAGTGTTCACTCAGTACTCCCTCATGAGACACCTTCAAGGGGACTCCGCGACGCGGCCCGAGTGCAGGTGCAAGAGGGCGACGGCAGGCCAAGGTACTCCAAGCTGCCCTAGGCACACGCTACCGACGCTCAAAAGGGAGGAGCAACACCAAGCGACGTCCCGGCACTCCCAACAGGCCAAACGGGCCCGATCACCAAACCGGAAAGCAGGGGTGGCGCTGGGGGTTTCCGCAGACGGAAAGTCATAAGCATAAAGGCCCCAGCCCCACGTGCACATCAGAATGGCAGCAGCGGAAGAAAAGGGAGTGGTGCGCAGGCACGGCCTCGCCCACCTCGAGCACGGGAGCCCTTGGACAGGGCAGAAACGCCATGCCTTGAAACAGCCCCATCAGATCCGGCAGAGCGCCTCTGGGTTGCCCCGGTGCCTGCGTCAGCACGCGATGAGGTGGATGATGAAGCAGGATCGCCGCCGCCATCAGGCTCGGATTCAGATGGGTCGGCGATGACTGCTTGTGCAGCAGAGGCGGGCTCTTGGATGCGCACGCCATGCAAATAGTCGGGCTGAAATTCAACAGAGAGTACCTCCCCAACATCAACACGGCGAAAGTGATTGCCCCCATCAATAAAGCGTCCCCCGTAAAGCCTTATGTGGAAGCCGCGCGGGCATCTATGGACTAGCCGCCCGCATATAGCTGCAACATCAAGGAGGCCATCTTCGGCGTACGACCAACCAAGAGGGAGGAGGATTGGTCGTAAGTCCAGTACGAAGGGCACTCGGTCATGCGGGCCGTACGGCGTGAAGTCTTGCGTCTGGCACGCAATCAGGACACCATGCGACAGCACACCATGCCAGGCGTGGTCATAGATGTCTGGAGCAGTCGGGACAAGCGTGAAAAGGCCATCGGTGAGCTGCAGGGATGCAGCAGCCCCTGAACTGCTGGACGCAAAAAGATCACGGTCAACCTGCGCAGCTGCCACCGGGCCATCAGACAGAATCCACGATACATTGTACTGCGCGCCACTGAGCTCGGGGAAAGCCTCCCAGGAACGGGGTCGTCTCAACAAGGAGGCTAAGGGAGAAAGCTGGTCAAAAGGCTCCACGGAGTCCAAGACCGTAATCAGGTCGCCCTCGGAGAGGTCGACCTGATCACCATCCTGCAAAGGCCATGGCATGTCCCGGATAAAGATACGAGCCACAGAAGAAGGGTCGAGCCCAAGCATGGCAAGCAGACCATCACGCCTAATGACCCGAGGCAAGACAATGGAAAAGATGTGGCCGTGCGGGAAACGGCTATCAATGAGGACGGCAGCCCCATCGTACCACCACATCGGAAGTGCAATGGCATAAGCCTGGCCTGTGCGTGGTTGGGGGTGAACCTCAATGATCCGGCCGCTTTCCATGGGCTTCGGCATCCCTGGCTTGGGCAACAAAGCCGAAGGCTTCGGCCGGAGTAACCGGCACAGGTACCCGGACAAGCACATGTTCAGGCCAACAATCCTGCGCAAACAGAAGAAAGGGGATCGGAGCATCAAGCTCCGCTGGATCGCCAGCGCCCTGGGAAGAACCGGCGGGCTCAACATCATGGGAACTGTCAGGAGACTCTGCAGGTAGGGGGCGCTCCGCACCAGAGTGCGAGCGACCAGCGTCAGCAGAAGCTGGCCCACGAGTGTCACCAAGACTGTATGATGCATCAGCATCGGCAGGTGAGGGAACATACTCAACTACCAGGACTTGCCCTGGGCGCGTCCGCAGCCAGCCTTGGTTGTCTGGCTCAATGTCGACATGTGCCCTCCAGCCCCTGGGGGCTTCTTCATTGAGTGTATGAAGAAGGTCCTGTAGATGTATTCTACCAGCGTGAGCGCGAAGCATACGCCAGGAATCCCCTATCTGTCTGCAGTCAAGTAAACAACTATGCCAAGGACGGCCACCGTATTCAGGAGGGGGCTCAGTCACTGCGAGAACTGTTCGGCAGGGAAACCCCGAGATTTCTGCATCCTCAGGGCGCGGCTGCGCCGCCTGTATCCGCAGCGTTCTAAGATCGAAACCTGTGGCCCGGGCGATTGCTGCACGATACTGTGTAGGCTCCTGTGGCGAAAAGTGTAGGAAGGAAGCGCCAGGCTGCACAACACAGTAGGCATCGCCTGCCTGTACTTCCGGGAGTTGCGGGTCGGGGGACCAACCATCAGGGCTGAGCAAGAACTCCCACAGGGTCCGGCGGGGCGGCGGCACGGAGCCTCGGGCAACGAAGGTAACCAAGGCAGCTGGGAACAAATGAACAGGGTGTTCGCCGACCAGTGGGTCATTATCTGTGCCCACGTAGATGTCAACTTCCAGTGTGCCATCCAGGTGGGCTAGCCACAACAGTTCGTGCCTGGAAACATAATCTGGAGCGTGGGTAACGAAAACTCTGCCATCGAGGCTCGCAGTGGAGAAACAGACCGCATGAAGGTCTGAGCTCCAAGACGGAGTTGCAATGAAGATGGCAGTGCCGGGGATCGGCTGGGGCAAAATTGGCGCAATGTTGGAAAACAGTCGCCTATAAGAGTGGCTACGGGAGGCCTGAATTGTGAACGCGAGATCATCCTCGGCAGCAGGTATCCGAAAAGCCACAGACAAGCACTCAGGCCTGTAGCCAACCTTAAGGACTGCGCAACCGAGACGGAGGAAAACCTCGTCCTCTTCCTCAGAGGAGAGCTCAGGCGGCGTGGCAAAGAGCGGTGCACCCCGCTGTGGCCCCAGGGCAGCATCATAGTGCCACCGGCCTCCCAGCAAGCCGGTAAGGAGACGCAGGTAGGACAAGTGCCGGCACTCACCAGTGGAGCGTCCACTGCTCCGCGAGAAACCTGTGGCTCACACATGCACTGACTGCACCTAGGAGGCTACGCAGGAGCGGGAAAAAGCAGCAGGCTATTCCGGCAAGCAGCGGGTCCAGGCACGGTGGGGCACGTTCCAACCCAGAGCTTCCGGAAGGGACGGCCCCCAACCGGTGCGCAGAGAGCCGCGGCCACACAGACACCGACGGGCGCGAGGGGCGGGGGGCGGGGGACCTCGCCTGGGCGACCTGCTGCGGGAGGCGTTGGCACCTTGGGCCATTGCCTGGCTGCCATCGCTGTGGTCGGAAGGCCCCTCCGAGTCAGATTCCTCTGCGGCCTCCGGGATCCGAGCGTTCGGACGATCAGATGAGCTCGAAAGGAAGTCGGCAGACGAGGAGGGAGCATACTCCGCAACCAGTACACATCCGTCATGAACTTCGAGCATTCCCGTAGAGTTGTTTATCTCGGCACCTTCAACTTGCGGTATCCAACCCTCAGGTGCGAAGGTGTCCAACCAGTCTACAAGCTCGGCATAGGAGACGCGGGGCCCGTCGGTGAGCCAGAGGGCCCAGCCTTGTAGCAGAGGCCGGCAATCAAGTATGGTGACACAAGGGGAGGCATCCAGCTGTGCAGTCGTGGCATTAGCAACGGCAAAGGCACAAAGTCTCTCGCAGTATAGGCCAAGATACTGGATATCGGTGGGGGTGGGGACCCCCATAGCGAAGTGCGCCTGCCTTGGCGGGATGCCATGTTCCCTAAGGACAGCGTCCCTAAGGTGCATGTCGTCGGCATCGGTGGACATGTAACCGAAAGCGGAGTCTTGTACAACCAGAGCTCTGTGGCCGCCCGGAGGCGCAGGGATCCGAGGGTTCGGGTCCCAACAATGGGGGGACACAAGCATCGTCCAGATCGAGAATCCTTGGACTATAAAGCGAGCCCCTGGCCTCATTACCGAGACGGTCCCGCCCACAACCAGGCTGCATTCCCTGTCCGGCCCCATCGGAATGTGCTCTCGGGAAGGAAAGACGTCGACATTTGCTCCCGGTGGCAGGCCAGCTGCGCGGAGCACGTGGTTTTTGGTGAATGGATTGGCGAGTGTCACCAGAAAACATCTGTCGTCGAAGTCTAAAAGGTTGAGCAAGACAGCTGGTTCGTTCTTAGCCCATTGTGGCAAAGAGACGGCAGCTCCCCAGTATTGCGTCGGCTGCGGGTCTGCGAAGAGCAGATATGGGTAGTAACGGCTACGGCCGGCAGACATAGCCTCCCCAATGGCTGAGCGTGCTGTATCAAGGCCACATGGTGCATGCAAGGTCAACTGGACTTCTTCAGGAACAGTATTCAGTGCAAACACCAGAAAGGTGGGGTGCCAGACGCTGCTAGACTCCTCGTCCGACTCAGCATCGTCAGGTGGGGCAATCGGGCCTTCCGTCTGCGGAGGATCTTCCCCAATGCGGTGGAAAGGGGCAGGTAGATGCCCAACTTCACCCTGATCCTGCATGGCAGCGACAGCCAAGGCAAGGTTCGGAGTTCCTTCGGCCGGGGTTTTATAGGACACGTGAGGCGGCCCAACGACAGGGTCACATGCCGGGAAGCAGCGTCCCCAACGTCTTCCTCAGCCGATCCCCAAGCGGAGGACTCGGACTCAGACAGAACGTCGAGACTGAAGCTGGCAACGCCAGGCGGCAAAGGGACCACAGTCAGAACAAGGGTCTCACCACAGCGGACCTCGAAGCCTCGCCTGCATCGCCTACCTCCACTGACAACAAGGCGCCAGCCAGGAATCTCGGGGAGACCAGCACCACGACGCAAATCCTCGCGGGAAAGCACGCCTCCGGCCGCCTCTAACACCGCAAAGCCTTTGCCCAGGGGGCGACAGTCAAGGAAAAAGGCACAAGAAAGCGCGCGCTCGGAACTCTCAGACTGGTCAGGCCTAGGGAGAACACCCAGAACCCCCTTAACGTGTTGGCCCCTATGCACAAAGGAGGAACCGGGGGGGAGATGCGCTGCAACCATGCGCACAGTAGACAGGGGAATCTCCAAGAGGGCTGCCACCTGTTGGATGGTCTCCCAGTCATCACTGCCGAAAGTGCTAAGGTACGCAACCCCTGCAGGGTGAAGCACCAAGGCGCCAGAGGCGATATTTGAGAAAGAGATGCGGGGGCCACTTTGAAGAGGTTCAAAAGCCCGCGCACCTATCGGACATGGCTGGACCCAATCAGGCATGTCGCCAGGCAGCACAAAAGTAACAAGTGCACCGTGTTCAAGCTGAACATGTTGACGGGGGCGCAAGGGGGCATCATGGCCCGCAACAAAAACCTCATGTGCACGAACAGTGTCCCAACCGGCCTCCCTCTGAAGCTCCTGAGCACCCGTGTTCAACCGCGAAAACGCTACCTCCGAGGGCCCTGGTATCGAGAAGCACAACGACCTTTTCAAAAGCCGTGAGCCCCGATGAGTACGCAAGGAAGGAGGCGTAGCCAACGTCCAACTGTGGGTACACAGGGACCACACAATCCCAACACGCATCAAGTCGGGAAGAGCTCGCTGCAGAGACCTCGTCGATAGCCTGCTCAGCAGAGGCAGACATTGATTGGCACTTGGACATGGAAGACTGCCAGGGGATACCCGGGCGCCGCAAGCAAAACCGGCAGGTCGCGGAAGGAGTCCAAGTCCCCAACACGTGTACCATCAAAACCAACACCGAAAGCTTCTGCAAGTACCTCCTTCTGGACCCCAGCGACAAGCGTGGCAAAGGACGGCGTGGGAAGCCGGGTCGCAATACACGTTTCCCCTACAGAAACCTGTTCGGTGTCAAAGGGTCCAGGGGAGGCAAGACCAGCAGCACAGCCGGCCGGCAGGTAAGCAACAGCGAGGCTAGTTAAAAGGCCTCGTTCCAGCGCCTTAGGAACAGCTCCTACACAGACGGGAAGTGCAAGGCATGCTAACATCCAGGTCCACAGAGTAGCACGTCCGCGGCGTACATGCTTATTTCTTGGGCATTTAGCCCAGTGCAGCGGGGCCTTCGGCGAGGCCACCTGGCCGAGTGGCAGCAGAATGGACGACCGCACCTGCACAAAAGGCACAGTGCAACACCTGCCCAGCGGAGAGCAGTAAAAACCCAATTGGCGGAGTAGAAGCCGCGAAAGGGCAATTTGGATAGCGAAGAGGATCACCAGAAGGACTGATGCAGCCTGGTCGACCATCCACGGAAGCAGGCGAAAAACCAAAACAGAACAGGTATCTGCAGCCCGTGTCCCTGAGCCACCGATACACGTGTTTGGCGCCTGCAGAACCTGATGCTGGCTGGCACACTGAAAAACTGGAAACTTGGCGATGTTATGCGGGCGTGCTGGGCGTGCTGTTTTGGGGGCCTGGTG